CGAAATCAGACCGAGCCGTGAAAATAACAATTTCTCTTTTGTGATGCGCTCCGCGTAAATACGTTAAAGCGAGAAGGGCCGGTTTTCGGTAGAGGAGGGATTCATCATCGGGGCCCGCGTGACTCGTCGATATTTTTCCCGAGACGCGTCTCGGGGAATCGATATTTTATGTAGATCACGCGGAAAGGGCAACACGCCCTCGTCGTCGGTGGCTATTCTCGCCTCGACGAACAAAAACATCCTAAACCAGAGAACGAGCGGAAGAACGAGCGGGCGAGCGAGCGAAGGAATAGGAGAAAAAGAGACGAGAAGGATCCGCTGTGGATGAGAGAAGATTCGATGAACAGAGAGAGGCCGCTCGCTTAGGAAGGGAGATTCTGGTTGCACGGTTACTCCGTGCGGTCAGAATTCATCCAGAAAATGGAACTTTTTCATAGCGATTCCTCGCTCGCGAGCGGAGAAAGCGTCTGTCGCTATTCAATGACCGAGTCCGTCAATTTAGATGGGAATGTGTATGCTACTGTTCGCTAAAATCGAAACATCATGATGGAATCGATATATATATATATATATGTATATATGTATAACTGATTTTATGTGAGTGACCTTAACATTTGGAGATAAATGATGTCAAACTGTTGTGGATTAAAATCAAATTAAAAAAATCTCCGTCTGCATTGTGAGAAGAGACTCGATTAAAATATATATTGTATCTTTATTTAATAACGTATATCCATAACATACATCTCCGTATAAATTGACACGTGTAAAAAAACGTCGCATTTAAATTCTCGACAAAAATGTATAGATTCCAGAGAGTGAATTTGTCGTAATTAAGATTTTCTTCATTTTTTGATTTAATCACAATTAATAATAAAATTTGTAAACTGCCTGTAAACTACCTACGGTAGCGGATTTTCAAATGCCACGTTGTATCGCTTTATCACCTGACGGACGTGGCTCCTGCGCTATCGATATCAGAAGGTCGCTCATACACGCGGTTCATCGGCCGTAGTAGTTTTTGCCGTGGGTCACGCGAAGCCGAGTCGTTTTCTTGAGGGAGAGAAGGCGAAGGTCGCCAATGCGGCCTCGCATTCTCGACCTCACGAAGCGGCAGCACGTACAACACGAGGGCTGCGTCCCAGGTGCGCTCTTCCTGCGCGCGCTATATGTGCGCGCCGAAAGATGTGCATCGCGACTTGCATTCGTGCGACTTTCGACTGTGTGTGTGTATTTTCGTCATGTGTGTGAGTATGCGTGGGTGATGGATAGACGGTTACCGTGTCACTCGTGCGAAGCGCTAAACGGACTTGAATGGCTCGAAATTGCATAGGCGACTGCATTGTTGCCCCGCGTCGATGCACAATGGACGGCCGCGCGATCGTCGTATATGCGTGCGTCAGTGTGTATGCAGATGCGTGGCACAAAGAGAGGCATCCGTCCTGAGATAACGATCTTCCAGATGAGCGACATTCTTTCGTATGGTTTGATATCGAGAGAGAGAGAGAGAGAGAGACCTCCCCCGTCTCGAAATCTCGCCTCGGGTCAATCGCGCGCGCTTTCAATGGCCGGTTCTTTGATCCGATTTCTGATGGGCTCACCGAAGCGAATTCGACGGCATTTCGAAACTAATAGCTGTTTATAATTAGTTTTCTAGGTGGAAATGAGGTGAACTTACAGATTTTTTAAGTAAACATGCAAATCTTCTGTGACACACGCATACTGTCGTTTTTTTAAATATTATAGAACATTTTAATAAAAATTTTATTGAAATATTTCTTGAAATTTGTTATAAATATTTATCGAAAAACGGTGAAATATATCTTTGAAATTTTTTTAATGAAGTTTTACAGAATAGAAAATATTTTTTCATCTATTTTTTCAAAGCGTTGACAGTGCGCGTAACTTTATAGAGATACGTTAAAATCCGTTGACGGCTCTCTCTTTCTTTCTCTCTCTCTCTCTCTCTCTCTCTCTCTCTTTTCTATCTTTCTTTTCCCCAGAGTTTCAGCGACACATTGTCTACACTGAAGAAAAATCTAACACGACTATCCGTTGGTTTTTTTAAATCTTCATCTCTGATTCGTCGAAAGCGAGAAGCGTCGGTTACTCTTGCGAACTTATTGGGAATAAAAAAACGGAAAAAACCGTCACTTTCTCTCTGTGCACATTTGTGTGTGACTGCACATGTGCCAAGGAAAAGAACCAATCGGCGTTTCAGGTTCATCCGCGAATCGTTCTCCTTTTTCGTTATCAGAACGTCACACCTGGCGTAATCTTTAAATACGCCTTTCTTTCGCAGGTAACGTAAGGGTAAAGTCGAAACCGGTGGAAATCACCCCAAAAATTCATAGACCCCTTCTCCAATCTCCCTATTTCTGGTGCACATCTTTCGCGAAGTCTCCCCAAAAGGGAGGCCCTACAGATTCTCACGAAAAAAAGCGTAATTTTCGTTGAAAAAAGGGAAGGGACGATGCAAATTCGTGTATGAAAAAGGAAAGCCGTGTGTGAGCCGCGGCTGTGTACCTGCCGTAGTATCCCGAACGACAGAAAAGACGAAGAGCGTCGGGGAGTAATGGGGTCTTCCCGCGTACGAAGGAAGAAGGGCCCGGGAATATATATACACGTATGTACATACGTACACGAGGTATAGGGATAATGTATAGGACGTGCCCGAGAAGCGGAGCGAAATTTTATAGGAAATCCACACCAATATACCGCGCGCGTTAGTTTCCCGAAGGTATGCTACCTGACCTGTTGCATCTTTTTTCCACCTTTTTTTTATGATTTCGGAAGAATCCTCTTGTCAGGTAACGCAGATGGAGAGGGCGAAAATCGGGGTGCATCGCCCCGAAAGTGAGATGCGCTCGGCGGAGAGACCCGCAGGATTCACAGGATTTTGAATTCCTTCGCTCTTCTTCCCCCCGCTGGAATCATCGTTCTAGCAACAAACGGTTCTTCTGGCAACACCTCAACGTACATCCGAAGGATCTCCCGTCCCCGACCTGCGCGACCGCGACGGTGCGTTTTTATGAGATTCTCGCGAGCGTTTATCTCCATTTTTGGTTTCTCCGTTCTCGGCTTTTATTTCGGAATCAAGGAGTCGATGGGAAAGCGCCACGAGAGAAAGAGAGAGAGAGAGAGAGAGAGAGAGAGAGAGAGAGAAAGAGAAGAGGCTCCAAATGGATGGCGACTTCCACTTTTTGGCATGACTGACCCTCGTTCTTCCTCCTCCTTCTCCGTCATCGACGTTGCTCTGCCGCGGTTTTTGACTTTCCCACAAGAATGCGAGAGAACAACTTCTTCTTGTACCTTTAGTCGTGGCTGATTGCCCGTTCTCGTTTACGTTCTTGCGTTCACTTTACTTTCTGTCTCTGTTGCAAATGATAGTTAAAGAAGTTAAAGAAACAGCGAAATGTAATAGTGAAATATCTTGTTGTACATATTNTTAATATATATATAATATATATATATATATATAAAATTGTCTGCATGAATTTTTTTCGACACATACATAGGAATGTACTACGTTTCATATTCGTGCAACCAAATTTTTTATGGTTTTATGATTTTATGGTTTTTTTTATGACGTACAGTGTAAAAACTTTTATTTCTTCGATAATAGATAATACTTACGTACGACTATATATATCTAATATATCTAGCATACTATACTATATTTAGTCTAATTATAAAAATTGTTTTTTTTTTTACAAGTTCTATCGATTCCCTTGAAAATGCGAGAAATCTCATTGTTCCGACAGCAGCAACCCCCGGGCGCGCACGTGACATGTACGTTGTGAACGTTATAAATCTCCCTTCGAAAACGCAGCGTATCGAAATAATTATTAAAAATCGCGCGAGCCAATCGCAGCGCATAAGCTAGTTTTTCTCCGAATCAACCGAATTGGTTCCGTACCATTATCCGACAACCCCGGCGCGAGCAAGATGAAGGAGACTTTTCGTAAAAGGGGTGGCGAGGAAGAGAGAGAGCAGTCATAAGATACGATGATGGATGCTTGTGAAGGGTTGCTGCTGCCGAGGGCAGCACGTCGAAAGGGCAAAAGGGTTCGACTCCGACCAATCGGTCCGACGTAACCGTCGTGTCCGGACCAATCCTAGGGCCCCGATGGGGCCACATTGATGGTGGGGAGGGTTGGTGCGCCCTTACGGGCAGAGTTTCGTTGCGTCATTCTGACATTCGCTCTGTATCGGTCTGTTGGCTAAGATCGAGCGCATATCGTGGCATTCGAATCTCGGGGCGAATCTCCGGAGCAAATTCACTTTTTCTTATTGATCGAACTCGCGGTTGGACCGATTTATAAATATTAATGAAGTATTAACGAGTAATATATATAATTGAAACCGTTCGACTCTCTCGCAAACTGGTTTCGTATTCGCAATAGTTCGGACGAACTTTCGCGGCGAAGAAAGGTGGCGTGTTTTTCTTCGGAATCTGAAGTGCACTATTTTTTTTTTCCTTCTTTCGATGTTTTCCGAAGCGGGATGAGGTCGCGTCAATCGATAGATCAACGTGGGATCGCGCTGAGCGCGGTCTTTTTCACTTACGCACAAGATATCGATAGTCGTGCCGGATCTCGAGAGGCGTCCCCGATGTAGGGACAGTGAACGCACGGAGGAACGAAGTTATGATGGTCTTTCTGGAGGAATCCAGGATGATCTTCGCGGACATGCGTCTTCATGCCACCAGCACGCCAACCACAACACCCACGCGTTATCATCATCGGAAGTACAGAGCGCAGAACAACAACGATTGTACGAAATTCGAAACACACACATTCGAAACATTTTCCTTAACATATCCGAACACTTCACATAATGATCACGTCATGTTGCTGTGTTTTGAAGATATAATTTTTATCTGATAGGGAAATATAAGTAAATACAAATAAATCCAACGTTTTAATAAAAACTTTTAAACAAAACGTGAATTAGACGCGTATCCTATTGTAACATTTTTTTTTAATTGCTTGTTGCAGATGCAGACTTACACGGTGATGTTGATGCACCTGATCTCAGTGGCGACGACAGAAGTATCGCAAGCGATATTCACGATGCCACAGAAGCACACCTGGATTCCGACTCGGACAAGGAAGCTCTTAACTTGGTAAGTAAATAATAATTTATTTGCCTCTATTCATTTTGTTTTATTCTTCTTATTTGTACTTTAATTTTTTTTTTTTTTTTAAATATTCACTATATTAAAGTTGAGTTTGTAATAGATTCTTTTCTTCATGTGAGAATCTTATATAAAATTAACGCGTGATTGAGAAATGTCGACAGGAGCATTATCTCTCGTATGTAACGAGCGGTAATGATTGCGGAAAATTATGAGAAGCGCTGAAAGAAGGCGCGGCTTTTAATGCCCGCGAGCAAAACTACGAGTCGTATAATTCGCAAACAATTTGCCACGCCATCTTGCGTGCGCGGAGTTACAGATGTTTAGATAATACGCGAGAAATTAGTTGCTCTCGTCTTAAGATTCAACGTGTCAACAGATTTTATTAATAGCAACATGTGTGATATAATCGTGTAATATAAATTTTTAAAATTTTGTGCGCGGTAGACACACTTTTTTACGATTTAATAAACAAATTATTCTAAAATTTGTTGCATCTTACTCGTAATGTTAATTTATAATAACATTGTTCGCGCGGCAATTAAACACATCTTTGAATTTATAAAGCGTCGATAACGCGTTTTGCGCACAAAGAACAATTTTCTTCATTAAATCAAACGTTATTTTTTCTCTACTTATTTTGACGAAAGCGCGCTTTGTAATGTCGATCATTGTCAACGGTTGCGCATTGGTTAAATGTATCGACAACGGTACCGATCTCATTTGCGAACGTCATATCCGACGTGCTTTCTTCCCTGCGTGACGTGTCTTCGATTTTTTTCTCTTACACGGGACCCTCTTGACGGGCGTAAAAAACGTTCGCGATCAATATTTGACAAATAAATAAAGGAGGCCACTAGCGAGATGAACAACGAGGAAGAACGTTCCGCGTGGCCTGTGTGTGTGCGTGCGCGCGCGTGTGTGTGTGTGTGTAGAATAGGTTTTATAAAACACAAAAGCGCGCAACGCAGAATAGAGGACCGTAGTGACCAATATCCTGACCTGGCCGAGTGTAAACACGGCTTTGTCCGACGTCGAATTTACTCTGTAATATTAGGGAGAGTGGCTCTCTCCTCGCGTGGCGCGTCCGATTCTTCGCGTTCTCCGATCTCACGTCACAGTGTGAAATCTCGTAGCCCGCATTTCGGGGAGAAATCGAAAATATAATAAATAAATCCTAAAAATGAATCCTGTTCCTGTCGCGGAAAACTCGCCCCGTATCATTTTATTAGTAACTGTACAAATGATTGATGATCTCGATTAAAATAAATTTGGAGATCTCTTCGGAGAGTTGCAGATTCGTCAACGACTTTGTCGTAATTACGAAAATCCTAAAATGTTGATATTTATCACATCGTGCTTCAATTGATCTAATCACATTCAACACACATAAAATGACTTGACATGGAAATCACACGGGACAACACGGAATTTGTTTTAGGTCACGGATGGTTCGCATCGAAACAGCAGTAGTGGAACCAGCGGCAGTGCGTCATCGCCGAGCTCCGGAGTCAGCAGCCAGCTCGCCGGCAGTCATCCGCAACAACAACAAGCGCAAACGCAACACTCGTCTACCCAACCGAACAACAGCAACTCAGCCTTAGCAGCCGCCCAGTTGGTCAGCCAGCAATTGCTGATGCACGGGTCTCTTGCGGCTCTAGGGCCGCAGGATATTCAGGCGCTCGCCTCTACGTTGCAGCAGCAGCAGCAACTGACGCAGCATCTGCAAATCGCTATGTTTCAGCAGGCTAATCCGGCGGCGGCAGGACAGCTACCCGCACAGGCGCAGTTCTTTCTGCAGAATCAGGTGAGAATCCGTTGAAGAGACGGATCTCTTCGAGGTTCGAATGTCATTGTTCCGACGACATCGACGGCAAAGAATTACTTTTTGACGGCAAATTGCGCGCGATTCGTGCGCAAAATTTCGTCGAGACGGGATGTCGGGATCGGTCGGAGTCGATCGCTAAGACGGCAGCGATGTTCGGCAGCGTGTGCTATCTGATCGGGCGCGGATCGGGACGCAAGAGTACGGGACGTCTTATTCTTCGCGAACAGAGCACCTTCGATTCGACGTCGAGATAGCCGTGTGGCAACGGCACAAAGAAGGCCGAGGTGTGCTGCCTCTTCGTTTATGCTCGCCGACGCGCATCAACTTGCAATCACATCACGGTTGAATTTCGCGTCCCATTACGCCACATTAAAGTCTTCGGAAATAGTACGAGATAGATTTGACGGGACCTCTGATAGAGAATTAATTCGAACTATTTAAACAAATTATACATTTCTGTTATTATACATCAGTAATATAAAAAAAGAGCAATAATAATAATGTTTACAAGAAGAGAACTTAAGGAAAACTATTAATTTTACTTTGAAAAGCTATTTTAATGCTATAGCGACAGTATATATATATACCTATAATAAAAAATGCATAAAATGAATAATGATTGAAGACATCCCCGGAAAAAGCGTACAAAGAGATTTCCTGATTCGTTCCGATAGATATCACGTTTCGAGACACGCTTGGTAATCTCTTGCCGAAAAAGAAGACGACATATTTATCAGTCGTCTTCACAGCACGCATTCCCTGCCGATGAAAAGAGAGTTTCACGAATTTCTCACTATTTGTTCGCCGGATCCTTCGACGTTGAAGGAGGAGGAATCGATCCACGATATCCGGGGATATGTTGAAAAACGATCCCGCTTCCTGGATTCTCTCCCTCTCTCAGTCCCTCCCTCCCTTCCACCCTCCCGGTCCATCGTCGTCCTCCCTATCTGAATGGACTGGGGGCTCTGCATTTACGAAAAAAATACCTATAGAATCCGTCACGACGTGCGCGTGCACAACTATAGTCTCCGGGAAAAATCAACAAAACGACTTCAAGCTTTAGCACTTAATGGGCATCCGCGTTCACCATGTGTATTATACACTTATTGTGCACGCACACGTACGCGGGTATTTGCACGCGCAAGGACCCATAAGGCCCTAGATCGTCCTCTCTCTCTCTCTCTCTCTCTCTCTTCCTCTTTCTCTCTTCCTCTATCTATTTCCCCTTCTCTTTCTCTCTCTTACTTTCTGTCTCGGAAGGTAACGCGCGGTGTCACAAGTTGAGCCCAGGCCCCTTCGGCACCTTGCCACGGGATACCTTTTGTTATCTCACACGTGGCCTGCATGTTTCCTTTTTCTCGTCCCGATCCCATCTCTTCTTACGTGACGCTACAGGAAGATTCTTTTCTCGTGCGTTCTTCTCTCTCCCGATTCGCGTCGAGTATTACGAAAGGCATACACGACCTTCTTCATTCGGGAAACCGTTTCATCCAAGTACACACAACCTGCCCCCCTTCCTGCAACCCCTTGCACGAGCGGGTTACGTGTGCACGCCACGCGAGGCTTTTCTTTGTGACTTATCTGCCGCAACGGACGCTTAATTTCTTCACTCACTCACTCGGGGTATTCACCCTTTCAGATTCCTTTATGTCTCGATCGCGATACGCGGCAGAAAAGTAACGTCGGATGTGTGAGACTCTATCTCTTCTCTCTAGATCCGATTAAGAAACGGTTGTAAGATAATTTGTGCAACGTTGTAAATAGGTTTGAACGAACTTCTGTTTATCATATAAGTCAAAGTAGACGAAAAACGAAAATATTTTATATCACAAAATGTTATCAATTGCTCACTTTTTAATTAATCAGTTTTTTTTTTTATGTGTAATCAACAACGAAATAGAAATACACTCGTGTTATTCGGGCGGATAGACGTCTTCGGAAATATTTATGCGATAGTCGGTTCCTCTGTCTTATCTCATAAAAAACACGGATAATCCTTTACGTAAGATCCGGATATTCTCTATATACCCCAGACAGACGATATCGAATTGACAATAACAACCTGTTACCGGTATAACCCGCCACGTGACTCAACTCGAGGCGTTTCCGCAGGGTGTCTTCGCCACAGCCACAATGCGCTATAAACTACGCTTCTCGTATGCCGGCGACACGCGACCGAACCCTTTCCGATCCCGAGTTACCGCGCGCCTCGTGACACAAACCCCCCTCTCGTTCTTATATAATCGAGTATCATGACTAAAGAAAAGGTGAAGATAATTGATCGGACGGATTCAACCCTTGTACTTTTCGTACCTGTGCGCACACGAGCTTGTCACGTGCCGATTCACGATTCCATAAAAACACTGTTGACATTTGTGTGCTCGTTCGAGACAAGAAAACAGAGTATGAGATTCGTTTATCATGGAAATGGTAAAAAAAAAAAATCGCACATTCTGTAAAATAAAAATAACAAAAATCGCGTTTAAAAAACATGACCAAAATCGCGAGAATTCTTGTTGCAAATTGAGACACAGATGGCCGTATTATGTTGACTTTTACCAAAAATGGTCGACGACTTGCAGGGGCTGTTGCAGAGCGGTGGCTACCCGACGAGACCGAGTCAACCGCGCTCACAGTCCATGCAGGTACGATTTCAGGACAGAATGTTGCGTTGTGTTTAGGCGGTGTTTAATCGCGAATGTGTTTGCAATGTTTCGGGAAATCCAAAAAAATCCTTTAAGAATAATCGAACGTTTTTGCCGCGTCTATAAAAAACATTACAAATTTGCATGTTACTTCGACTGAGATAATTAAACGATTAAAAGGTACAACAGGCGGTGGCGCAAGCAGCTCAGCAGTTGCAAGCCTTGCAGAAGCAGCAAGCTCTTCAGAATAGCAGCAATTTGGTCAGTCGAAATTTGACGCAAAGAACTCCGCCACCGTCGGGTACACCGCCGGCGATAAAAGCACCACCTACGAGACTGGAACCTTCGCCCGAAGAGACGACGGATCTCGAGGAATTAGAACAGTTCGCCAAAACGTTCAAACAACGTCGGATAAAGCTCGGATTTACTCAGGGAGACGTGGGACTCGCAATGGGCAAACTCTACGGCAACGATTTCTCTCAAACCACAATTTCCAGGTAAATACGTTCTCCATGTGAATGCAGTTGTTTGAGATACACACACTTTAAGTGATACTTTCAGATTCAGTATTGACTCTAAACTAAGTAACAATTGCTTTTTTTTGCTTTTTTATTCCAGGTTTGAAGCGTTGAATCTTTCGTTCAAAAATATGTGCAAGCTGAAACCACTGTTACAAAAATGGCTGGAGGACGCCGATAATTCCTTGAACAATCCCAATTCTCTGTCGAATCCACTTACGACGCCGGAAGCGATCGGCAGACGACGAAAGAAGAGGACGTCGATAGAGACCAGTGTGAGAGTCGCCCTGGAGAAATCCTTTATCCAAAACCCAAAGCCAACGTCTGAAGAGATAACCATACTGGCGGATAGTCTATCGATGGAGAAGGAAGTGGTTCGCGTGTGGTTTTGTAACAGGTAAACAAATATATTTGACATAAATATCGACAATTTTGTGCGTTGGTAATTTATTATTCTCTCTTAAACAACACGTCGTTAAACATTTTTAGAAGACAGAAAGAGAAGAGAATTAATCCGCCAACCGCAGCGATGGGCAGTCCAACGATGGCGTCACCGGCGCCCTCGATGTTGGCCTCTCTCGCCAATTCCATGTCGGGCAGCCCCCTAGCTCTCACAACGCATTCCTCCAGCATAGGCCATTCCCACCCTCACTCGACACCCTTGCCCTCACCGTTGCCCCTCGCACTGGTAGCTTCGGCGGGGGGCAATTATCATCCGTCGAACAGTAAGTCCCACGAGTGACAACAGGAATCGACCCATCAAGGGGATATACTCTATCATCGTAGGCAACAGCAACAGCAGCAGCATCAGCAGCAACAACGACGCTTGTGCAATCTGTCGGATTTTTATTATTAGCCGGTTTTGCAAAAACCGGTTGCGGCAGATAAGACCCGTTTCGGACCTCGAAATCCGAACAATATACATTTTTATATATTTACTCATTATATTTGCGTATATTATACTCTCATCGTGACACTCGATAACTTTCCGACGCTCGACTTTGTTTTCGAACGTTACGATAAAGCCACGATCGTCGAAACAGAGATGTTTAATGTTACTTATGATGTAAATATAACATCATTACGTTTATAAATCATTATATCATCGGTGATACGGAATGCGATTATCGCCATTATCACCGATATCGAATGATTTGTATATTCGGCATCGTTGACGATATTGTAGCGGGTGAAATTCAATCTCGAGAGAACGGATAGAGTTCACGCGTCAAAGACGAAGCAAGAGGACGATCGAATGAGAAAAAAAAAAAAAAAATACAGGTAGGAAAAATATTAATCTAAATATGAGAATATGTATAAATGCATGTGGGTCGTTGTTACATCGTCTGACGTTGCCTAAAATTCAATTTGCTATTTAGATCGTTTTATTTATATCTAGCAATATTAAGACGTTTGTTTATTTGCAGAATTCAGTTTTTAAATTTTACATTATTTTTGCAGAACTTCTATTTTATTGACGTGTTTGTAATAATTACATTTCAAAAGATGACAATCGACGATTTGTAAATTCTCGTCGACTGTCACTTTTTTCTCAGTATTATCATTTTTGTCCACAATATCCTCGATAGAATTGTCATCACACTTGAATACATTGTGTCTCATGGTTTTAGAGCTGTCTAGCAGTTTAACCCTTACGGATCTGTATAAGTATATACGTTTCAAAAGTGTCTAAGTAAATTCTTGGGACATTATGTCTTCTATATATACTTTGAGACGCGAGCGTCTCTTAATTTTAGTTTCTATTTTATGTTTTTATTCTTTTAAATTTTCGTTCAGATAAATTACATATATAATTTCAATTCTATATTTCAATTCTATAGCGGCAAAACAGATCTGTAAAGGTTAAAGTTACATAATCGTTGGTTTTTTTTCGTTATTTCTTTTTTTTTTTTTGAAAATTATTTATTAAATAACGCCTTTTCGGCGCATCTTTGTGGTAAGCAGGGTTCTAGTGAGTCTCAATGACAAAATGCGGCGAGGTCGGACAATACAATTGTACATATAATTAATATATATACACACACACACACACACGTATAGATGTATATCTTTCTTTCTCTCTCTCTCTCATCGTATCGTACATATCCGTGTAACGAGGCTGTATATATCACAAACGTATATTTAATATATAAAAAGTTTGCAACCTAAGAATGTGTGCAAGGCGCGCGAATGTCTACACGCGGTGCTAGACTGCTCCGATTTGTATTATTACAATTGAAACGCGAAGCGTTTGCAATTCATGCCAAAGTAAATTGTTGTGAATGCGTGTACAATAAGTATTATACGTGTGTATTATAAAAAAAAAAAAAAACGTGTATATTCGAGAACAGATGAATTTTTCATAGAAATTTCGGAAGCAATGTGTAGCGCGCGTGAAAACGGCCGCCGGCAACGAGCGTTTGCATTCTTGGCAAGATTTCTCGATGCATGCAATATATTTTCTCTATATATATATATATATACATATATAATATCTATTGAAACATATATATATATATAATAGATATATATATCTATTTCAATAGATATCTCGTTTTAATTGTAATAATACAAGTCGGAGCAGTCTAGCACCGCGTGTGGACATTTGCGCGCCTTGCACATATATATATATATATATATATAATATCACCATCTATAAATATCGCATGCATCGAGAAATCTTGCCAATAATGCAAACGCTCGTCGCCGGCGGCCGTTTTCACGCGCGCTACACGTTGCTTCCGAAATTTCTATGAAAAATTCATCTGTTCTCGAATATATATGATTATAATATATTATTCTAGACAAAATGGTTATGTGTACATTATTATTATTACACGTAATGTATATATTGTACACTCTGCGACTTATTCTGTATTTGGAGATTGATATAGCGGAAGGATGTTTCCAATATGCGTTGCGGTAAAAAAGAAAAAGAAACTCTCTTTTTGTTTAAGAGAGAAACGTCAAAGTGAAGTATTTTAAAATATTTAGATATTTATGTTACGCAAATTTGTTGTATACACTTTTTTTCCGCGTATTAGACAGATCTTTCCGCTGTCGAAAACTTGACTTACGTACGCTGGGAACGATTGATTTACCACGATGGTGAATTTCCGGTGATTTAATTAAGGGCTATGATTTTAGAATATGAATCAAGAAACGGAAGTGATATACTATTCCACAATACATCTTTAAGACCACATTTGTGTGTATAGATTTTATTATCAATGTGCAGAACTTCGAGAATATACATACATATATATATATATATACATATATATATATAAAATATATGTATATATATGTATATATCTAGTAATTATAATGTAACCGCTACAACTTTGCATATATTTATACATATGATATGAATATATATGTGTAGTGATTATATTATAATATATTACGTAAATGTTGCCTGTATTGTCACATATATACATATATATATATATAAATATGAAAAGCGTATATATACATATATATATAAATAATTGTATAAAAACTGATGTATATAGTAGGTATAGAACAAGTGATGTACCACCGCGTCGAAACGATAACAAATAGCAATGTTTCATTATATCATCATCATTATCATCATCATGTCATCGTTCTTTATATTATTAATGTCACTACGTAAAGTCACGATAAAGGCTGCTGTTATATTATAATATCACATCGCTTATCATGTAAACTGTAAATTATTATGAAACTTTTTACATGTCCGCGAGCAGCGAAATTACTTTTGTACGAGTTACATCTCGTATGCACGTAATTAATAATAATGGATGCGCGTGCGAACTGTCACTATATTGTATATATACGATCCATCAATTTGCACGATATTGTGCTAGTATACAGACTTACATTTTCGTTGCCCTGCAAAGTACAAGTTTTCTTGAACACAGCGCGACATAATTTTTTTTTTGTTTTTTTTAATGTACGTGTTATTTTCTCTCCAATTTGTTATTTGTAACAGATTCGGTTGCGGTTAGCGGGTGATGCAAACGCGTCAGAGATACTTCTATACCGTAAACGAAAGTTTGTGCAAACTGTTAGATCATGTACAATCAATATTTAATATTTTTTCGACGTTACTCTCTCTTTCTCTCTCTCTCTTTCTCTTTCTCTCTTTCTTTCTCTCTCTTTATACATTCTTCTCCTTGTTATTTTCGATAAAACAGAAACTTAAGCTTCCAAAGTCGTGGACCAAGTTGTAACAAAGTCACACACACACACATACATACACACGCAAACGTTGACACGCACGCGCGCGAGATAGAGGCGGATTTATAATTTAAGATACGAGGGGGCGAAACGCAAATAAACGAATGTTAAAAAAAAGTTCCTACCGCATACTCGCTGATAGGTACAACTATAAGGACAATTAAAAATCTAACAGAAAAGAAACTAGTATATGATAGCGAATACACGAATAAATCGAGAGAAAATCGGGAAAGGAGACAGAGGAAAGCGAAGAGAGAATCGCGAGGAAAGTAAAATTTTTCTACTTTTGTTTCACACAAGACCTGTTTGTAGATAATTAATTGATAAGATGTAATAGCGTGATACACCCGACATCTCTATCCCTTTCCACGCTGTCAACATCGTCGACTATTCTTTCGACATATGCAGTAGCAATATTATTTTACTCATTATTATTAGTATTAGTGACTTTTAGTAATTATTTTATTAATTATTATTATTATTATTTCATTATATATTTTGAGTTTTATTATTCAAAAATAAAAACGTCAGATATTTTTTTTCTTGTTTAATTTTCTGTAATCCTCCTCCTTGATTCCTTTCAGTTTGTGCACATTCGTAAAAGAGAAAAGAACACGTATCGACGTGCATTACGTTAATTACCGGTGAAACAAAGTTTCACAAAATTATCACAGTTTCCTTACAATCGCGCTAGAAACGTATTTTTCTCCTACCGTCCCGTCATTTTCTCGTTCTGTAAAATTTGTACATATAATTTATATAGTAGTCGATAAACACACAATATTTAATACACCATATAATAGTGTGTAAGAGGCCAATTTACGATTGGACGGAATAAAAAGCGGAACTAAGAAAGAGACAAGAAAGATGTATTCAAACGTGAGTAACAAAAGATCACTATAATTAATCGTTAACTCTGAAATGAGAAAAAAAGTCATTTACATTTGTGAATTAGTTTTCAAGCAAACCACGTATTTTTTGTTACCTACTATTATATACGAAACATTTGTCGAAAACAAGATAATTGTACGTACAAAGAAATGGGCAAACAAAAGATTGTTTTTCTGCTTTTTATTTTCCATCCAATTATAATTGGTTTAAGAGGCGATAGATGTTCACTAATTAAAAAGATGAAGCTACAAAGCTTCAGGAGTATATTGACTAGTATTTGTAGAAATTTATATTTTTGACGTAAAACACACAATTGGATACTTTTTATTACGACGTATGCAAAACCCCAACGTAATTTTACACAAAATTTGTGCACAAAATAAATTGAATTTTTTTAAGTAATTGTAAAATTTGGATTTTTTTGTATATTGTAAAATTTAAAAAAATACTTATATGAATATCGATGAAAGATTGTCGTTCTGATTGTGGACATTTTGTTGCACGTGTAACCGCTTCATTATAAAGTTCTAAAAATTTTCTCAATTTCGTCATTTTGCGCGTAACACGGAGTATCCAATGTGTTCTTGACGTCCTTTGCAAAAGGATAATACAATATTATCATAGATTTTATTAACGTTCGATGTGTAATATGTTATCACGAGGCGCGTAATTTAATCGTAATGATAATGCACACGAAGAGCACGGTATGACAGTTCTTAAAAAAAAAAAAAAACAAACAAAACAAAACAAAACAAAACGGTCGTGACGATCGGAGACTTTGTTCAAACGAGAACAAAAAAATTCGTTTGACTATTTTGTACTAAGAATTATCGACTACGTCGGGCGATTATTGACGACGGTGATTGCAATTTGCGAGATCCTTCCGTCGGCGGAGACTGTAATATTAATTAGGCAAATCTCTTGCTAATGTGTGCGCATGTGCGTGAGTATGCCTGCGGCGGGTCGTCGTCTTTCATCTTTTGACAAAAGAGCGACCTTTGTGCAAGGAAAACCGTAAGGGAAACGGTCGAGCGAATGAGAGGGGGAGAAAAGGTAGAGAAAACGAGAGTGTGAGAAAGAGTGTGAGTGAGAGAAAGGAAGAATGATGTATAAATAAAACCATATCAATCGTAAATAGTTCGTGTTATCTGGATTATACTATACAATATGACTACGATTATTATTTATCACAGTATGATTAGCGAAGAATATTGTAATTGTATAATAAACTGATCATATAGATATTTTTTGTCGCCGTCCCGATATCTTGGTAATTTCAATATTTCCAAAAATTTGCTCTGAGAACCTCTTGACTATATATATATATATATATATAAATATGGACTGCCAGATATTTTCACTTTTTTTATTCTTACATGGTGTAAAAAGTTTTTTTTTATGTACATGTAAAAGAGAAGATGCTTTGCGGATTTTTTTTTGTGGCAAAGTGAACATACCTCATTTTGTAATATTTATTGATACATGTAATTAAGATGTTACTTTTTATACAAACCTAAAGAATACAAACCTCTGAGAAACGAGATAATCGATGTATCGTTGCAAAAGATAAAGTATTATATATTTTTTTGTACCGATAGATGATATTACATTTTTATCTTCTATTGATATGTGATTACCGTCAATACGATAGATTTTTATCATAAGACGTTACTTTTTCTAACGACGGCGTAATGTCAGTTCTGTTTAGTACGGCCGCGTTTCAATATTCACTGGCAGTACTGAAAATCCATATCCAGAGAGAAGAATGAGAGCGGCCAGGCTCGTAAGAGTTTTTACGAACGCTTTTCCGCCCGTAAGGGACGGAATTTTTACCCCGTAAACTAGCGCATGACCAGGGTTGGTGCACATTGGAACTACGCAGCCAGTCCACGAGCGACATGTCGGTGCGCTATGTCCACAGCGTGCGGTTCTATTCTGTGCTATGTGCACGAGTTTAAATGGTCACTTTCTTTAAGTGTGCGAGTATATTCGAGAGCGTGAATTTGATTTTTTTTGAAATTTAAAATGACCGATCTCGTGATAAGAATAGAACCGCACGCTGTGGACATAGCGCACCGACATGTCGCTCGTGGACTGGCTGCGTAGTTCCAATGTGCACCACCCGTGGACATTGCGCTGGCTTACAGAGCGGAAAAGCTACACACTACACGTTCTCTTATGGCCGCGCTCTCAGTTTTTTCTCCACTTTTCTCTGAATAGTATCGCGTTTATTGATGAACGAAACTACAACATAACCTACCTCGCAAGTTCGGAGACCCCGAAGAACTTCTCTCTAATTGTATAAAAAAATAATGGGCGGTTTAAAGAAAAAATCGCAGAAGACTGGACCGGTGGACAACGCGTGGACGTTGAAGATACCGGAATTCAAAGAGAAGGATAATCCGCATCGTCTTCTCGAAGAGAGCTCATTCGCGACGATGTTCCCCAAGTATCGGGAGCAATATCTGAAGGAGCATTGGCCGCTGGTGCAAAAAGCTCTGGGCGAACATCACATCAAAGCGGAACTGGATCTTCTCGAAGGTAGTATGACTGTGAAAACCACTAGAAAGACCTGGGATCCGTATATCATCATCAAAGCACGTGACATGATTAAACTTATGGCTCGCTCGGTTCCCTTCGAACAGGCGGTGCGAGTATTGCAGGATGAAATTTCCGCAGACGTCATAAAAATATCTTCGTTTGTGCGAAACAAAGAGAAGTTCGTCAAGAGAAGACAAAGGATCATCGGACCAAACGGTTGTAACTTGAAGTCCATCGAGTTGCTCACCAATTGTTACGTTGTAGTTCAAGGCCAGACTGTGTCGGCAGTAGGACCTTATAAAGGTCTGCAGCAAGTGAGAAGAGTTGTAGAGGACACTATGAAGAATATTCATCCGGTCTACAGCCTTAAGGCGCTGATGATCAAACGAGAGCTTGCCAAAAATCCAAAGTTGATGAATGAGAATTGGGAACGGTATCTACCCAAGTTCACTAGCAAGAACATAAGCAAACGTAAACAACCAAAGAAGAAAAAGGAGAAGAAACCATACACTCCGTTCCCGCCTCCTCCAGCAGAAAGCAAAATTGATGAGAAGATAGCGTCTGGTGATTACTTCTTAACAGAGCAACAGAAGAAGGAGAAAATGAAGAAGGAACGAGAAGCCAGACATGAAGAAGCATCGAAGAGAAGACAGGAACGCAGAGCACAAGTGTTTGTACCACCCGAAGAAAAACCTATTGAAAATACAACGGCAAAAGCTGATATAGATGTTGCGGAAATAAAGAGAAAAGTTCAACAAGGACTAAAAAAGCGTAAAATAGAATAATATCATAGTATGAAATCTAATATGTGTGCGTGCGTGTGTGAATTATTCAAATTGAAAATAATGTTTTGATGCTACGATGTAGCATAAATATTGTATGTAACATGTGTAGATAGATATACGTGATATAAAATAGGTTTTGTTACACACAAATATAAATTTCCAGAGAAATATCTTGTTGTTTTATTTAAAAAAAAGACGCATTTTTATGTGTAGTATCGCATTCGTAAAACATGTATTTATATAAGTATTTTACATTTGCAAAATAGACAGAGCTGAAGTTAAGTTGCAATGTTTAACATTTTGAAGACAAATGTACTTAGTTTGTGTTCATATATATATATGTATATATTGTCCACACAATGGTAATTTTAATGGTTGAAAAAATAGAATATATTTGGATATTTAAAAAAATTAATTTTCTTCAAAATATGATAGTTTCAACATTTTTTAACTTTTATTTTTGATTGAAGCTTTTTGTTTATTTTTGATAAAGACGCTTTCAAAAGTATATAGTCTTCAATATGTTGCACCTTGCACGATTTGATGCAATGATTAATTTGAAATCCTATCGCGAAATTATTTCAGTTTGAAAATAGCAGATGCACCTAACTGGCGGTTTAGTTCTCAATATCGTTTTTATTAAACACAATATAAGTTCCAAAAAACTTCGCTTTTATTAAACAAAATATTAGTTAATTAGACTAAGACGCATTGGTATTTATAACGGCGTAAATGTTCCAATCAATGTACAGCGCGCGTTCTTATTTCAACTACACCACAATTCCTCGAGTACAAATTTTCTCATTTTACTGGACACGCATATATTAAAACATTGATGAATTTACTTGCTACCTTAGAATTAAGATCGAGCTGCCTATTATCTTACAGTTTTGTCGATCTTGGAAATATAACGTTTCGTTAGCTTATATCTATACTCTCTTTTCTTCTCTTTTATTTACAATATTATGAGAGAATATAGCTGCATATGTGCGTGTATATGTGCGTGTGTGTGTGTGTGTATGTGTGTGACGATTTTTCTTACGTGGGAAAATTTATGCAAGTATTCACGCTGTGATAAAGCTATTTGAAATTATCAGGACGGGAGGGAGATAATGGAATATGCAATAATTATTTACAACGCAGCAAAGATCCTTCCCCTAAATCGTGTGAAATAGTTTCGGGATTTTGCACACTTGTGCGAATTTGTGCGTACACTGACGAGAAACAACTTGCGTGCCGCACAAATAGAACGGAAGGTTTTTTTCTACATGCACCGTGTCTTCTCTCAATCGATCGACCGCTGACGTGAGATTTAATTCCCATTAGTGTATTTACATACAATTCGATATTCCATGTTTCCCCACACTTCCTTTTATTTTATACGGCTTGTTAATTAATCTAGATTAAAGTTTTCTTTTTTTTTTCTTTTAAGAAGAACCGATTCGCACCTGACAACGATCGTTGTGACGATAAAACGCACAACAATACTCCGTTAGCTAATGTCAAAAGATTTTATTTGCGGCATTTTAATCTACTTTAATTAACAAATTTAATTGCTGAGCCATTTTGATATAAAAAGTTAAGTAGGTGATTAAGCTTCAAATCATTCTTCCGTTGCGAGTAAAGTTCGCTTTAAATTTTCTGAAAACAAAGTTCTTCGTTATCTACGTGCCTTCGGTAAAGCGAAATCCTTTAATTCCAATGTTAACTAACTCCGTAATTAGACCTCTCTTTCAATCTCACGAGAGCTAAAGGAAAGTCGAAATCCTTCAAAGAATCTGCAGCCAAAAGGAAGCGCGATAGTGATACGTAGGAATATACCCCCGCGTATACGTACATATTTACTCTATCTATGTATACATGTTCTTATTAAGCCGGTGTCCTGATTAAAAGGAAGAGAACATTTTACTGACGACGCTTACCGCTCGTGACGATGCATTAAACATTTGAAATTTTCTTTTTGTTTTGATTGTTAGAGAAGCAAGGCGAGATTATATCATATGCGATCACGTTATGCTGTCGTATCCGTTTAACCAGAACACGGCCGAATCAATCGATCACATGAAATATCTACATTAAAAGTATATTATTGGCTTCTTACGTACAATATTGATATCAAAAGAATTTTAGATACTCTTAGCAGATCTTCCCAAAGTTAGCTAGTGTGAATATATAATATAGTTGCCTGTGTTATTATACAAAAGTTTATTTGATATCATTCTCTCTCTCTTTCTTTCTTTCTTTCTCTCTTTCTCTCTCTCTCTCTCTCTCTCTCTCTCTCACACACTCTTTCTCTCTCGCTTCGCGGCATATCTATAAGTCAAGCGCGAAGCGACGGCAGTAAGACGTTATTATTGGAAAATATAAGTATACAAAAGATCGTGTCTGTGCTAATATAATATTGCTATGTTCATCGCGTCAACTTCCACCTTGATTCACTTAAAAACATTTGTGAGCGAGTAATGTAATGATGAATCAACGCGATGCTGCGTTTTCTCTTTAGATGTAACGCTCGAGAGAAGTTTTCACTTGAAAAGCAATTCTCATTTCAAGAAAACTTCGAATTCCTATATGAGAAGGAAATTAAAGTTTGTTTGTTTTTTTTTTTGGCAAAAACAATAAAAATAACAAAAAAATGAAAACTCGAGAACGAATATCGATTTTGTTTATACAAGAATTTAAGAAGTATGTTATGCTACACACACAATATAAAGTTTGTAATTCATCTATTTCTGCAGGGTTATATGTATATATATATTACCGAGCTCTACAATATGTTAAGTATGTTTACACACCCCAGTTCCTGGGCTTTTTGTTGTCTATTCGCACAACTAAGTAAATTTATACAATCAGTTACAAAAATAAGTCTCTTTTTTGTGTGAATCGTAGCGCATGCTTTCGACGGAAAAGCATTTGGTTCAGCACGATATCTCATTCGATTGAGGAAATATTTTTATCGGCGGATTGAACTGGGCCGTAACCTAAGACCAGATAAAAACAACTTATTTATACATATATATACATATGTATGCGGACTTTGTTTGATCCGATAGCAACGCTAAGAAGCTTTTCGCGGATACAAGTCATATGTGACTTGAAATTAAATATAGTTTTGTCCAACTTGTACAACATTATTTGTTTTGTCGTTTCGTGTAAGCTTCTCCGCGCGGTTATTCGCTTAAAAACATAATCTCAAAACGGTGTGACAAAACCTAATACCGATTATCCAAAATATGAAGTAACGCCAGAGGTGTATAAAAGCTATGGCTTTCTTCATTTAAAAAAGTACACATAAATATATAAATAAAAAAATGAGCTGTGTCCGTTGGTCGAACACGCTCAAGTACACACGTTTCTTAACTAATATGACTTGATTGCGATAGTTCTATTTATAGTTGTATTTTATCAATAATATTTATCAATAACGTTTGATTGATGTTTTTATAACTGTTTAAACTTTTCAAATTGAAGACATAATCGCAAGTATGCGCAACAACAACAAGGAAACTCTTGATTAAGTAATATAATTCTCAAAGAAAATTGAGTTCCTCGAGACTAGTATAAGCAAGTTTATCGCACGCTAAATTTATATATTTCGCACATAATACGAAACGCTAAATTCTTCATATGCTCATCATTCTCTTTTAAATCTCAGAAACAAATGAGTTTTTGTTTGGTTTTCTTTACTGTGGCACTCTCTTCGAGGCTAACAGTGTACAGAGACTCTCTTCCCGATAAAGCAACCTAATTTTGTTCATTTTTTTTCTTACATTCGAAAGTTTGCGATACTCTGTGTATGCACAACTTTCGCATCGCATCGGTGATCGTACACGCTCCCGCGTCTTTATACATTATCTCATTTCACTATAAACATTATTTTACACATCAATCGCGAAATGTTCACATTCTAGTACAGTTATCATTATAAAAAAAAAAAGATATCTCATGAGATGATCTAGTGTCATTTTAGTGCCTAAAGATAAAAAAGCGATGGAATTTCGATAGATATCGAAACCGAAAAGTTTATTGATTAGTATTATATGTATATAATATATAAAGCAGTCTTAAATCTTTTCCTATCTTTTTTGCGTTTTCCGTAATATACCACTTTTAGTAAGTCACTAGAGAATTTTTCTAGATCTCTTCCGTCCAATGACACATGTGACTCCACTTCATATAAACTGCGCCAAAAACTTGCAAGTCAGCTTGGTACAAGACGGGCTCCTTATCGATATTATTTTCGGGAGATCATAAAGAGCCCACTATTGTTGTAACCAGGGGGGACGCGCAGTTCTCTAAGATTAAGTAACCCGGCCCAAATCGATCGATCTGGTCGCGCGCGGATAGCCTTAATTAAGTAACGCGCCTCTGACGCGATCGACCTTGAATAGGGCGATCATGTCGATCGCGACGATTAGTAGCGAGAGAGTCAGCGGATGAATGGCGCATTCACCGCAACCATATCAGCTAGTGATTGTGATTGTAGAGATGCCACCTCTGCGTCTCGGCGTTCGAATCGCACTTCTCCGCGGTAATGCCACGCTGCGCATGATACCGGGAGTCCACGCACACGGGGATTCTGGCGTGACGTATGAGACCACCCTCCAAGTGCCGCCACTTTTGGTTCTCGCTGCCGTCGCAGATTTGCATCAGCAACGTGGTGCCTTTCGCGTAGACCGGCAGGGTCAAGCAGAGATCGTGGTGCTTGATCAGGCCGTCTTTTGTGAGACCCCATTCCTGCAAAAAAAGAAAAAGTATATTACAGAATATATACATATACATATATATATATATATATATGACTGAAATTAGTTCAAAAAGTAATTACCAAAAAAATATATATATATATATATATATATATTTTTTTTTTTCGGTAATTACTTTTTGAACTAATTTCAGTCAAACACTTACTTGATTGCCACCGGTATCGTGACAAGGATAGAGACCCACGTTCCCGTCGAGAAGGTGGCCCATGCTGTCCAAACAGGCGGTTCCCTGCTTCAAAGATCCTCCGGGACCACCCTCGCTCGTAGGTATAACCAGCTCGGGATAAACGTTTTTCAGATACCAACTAAAGGGTTTGCAGTGCAGTCTTCGTTTCAGTTCCATTCTGTCCTGGATACTTTAAACACATATAATAATTACGCGTTAATTCGACATTAAATGACACGATAAAATTCGAGTAACATCTCTCGAGAGTTTAATCGAAGATATAACGCTAATACATTTGAACTTACTTTCCGTAAGGGATATTTCGTGCCAGCGGCACAGCGTTATAGTAGAACTGCTTGTAATCATCCATCCATACTTCAGCGGCGCGTCTCGTGTTTCGGGCGAACACGTTCCCGCTACCTCCGGGGAACGAGTACGGATGACGTTTACGGAATACATGGCCCACACGTGAGCAAGGAATAATCTCGAGGCTGCCACCGCATTGCCACACGCGAAACGATATTTCTGAAAGAAAGTTACGAGCGCGCGCGCGGTGAGTACTAATGTGAAGAAGAAAAGAAGAGCATGATGCACCATTGACATGGTAATCAAGCATGTATAAACTTGTGTTTTAATTTATTATTTTTATTTTTCTCTTGACACACAAAACTGGATTATATTTTAAAATGGTATATACTTGCAAACTCTTATTGTTTTATTAAAACGGTAATTAAAACCTCGGTTCTGTATATCTTTCGATAATTTTTTTTACATATGTATAGATACGTCAAACCCCGATATAACGTCAGCGTTTTTTTCTTAAGAAACTCGGAAAAACTTTTTTCTTCCGTTCGAAATAGGTCGAAGTTATTTCGAACTTCGCTTCTGACATATATTGGTTTTCTTGCTGTGTTTTTCGCGAAGTTCTTACAAACTGCACACAAGATGGTAGTTTCTGTCAAAGAGTTCGTTTTTCCTCGTTCGAAGCGTGTAGCGACAAACACAACATCTTTCTTGACAACTTAGAGAATAATTGAATTGATGTCTCAAGCGTAAGGGTAATTAATTTTTTTTAAAGAATTTATTGCGATATTAATTTCGTACGTTTGCAGTTTGTTAAAATGTTTGCGATAACAAAAATTAATTTAAAAAAGAAATTATTAATAGTGGATGTACAAATAAATAATCAATAACATTTTTGAGCTTGTTTTATCAATGTAATTTAAAATTAAATTAATTTTTCCGCTAAAATAAGTTAATTTTCAAAAGAAATGTTATTCACAAAAGATCTAACATGACATTTAAAAATTATTCAGTAGTCTCACTCAAATAAACCTTGAATTTAGCCAAAAAAGTTGAATCATTCATTTATAGACCTTATATATATATATATATATATATATATATATATACTATATATAACATAAAGCCGTTTATATAAATAATCCATATTTTTTTCCGCACGTTATCACTCAAAGATCTTGAATGTTTAATTGCGCAATCGTCGGATGCACATTCAAAAATAAGCTAATATTTACGCGCTGGTTCTTTTCTCCTTTGCTTTTTCATAAAATTTAATAGAAAGTACTCATTAAAACTTGTTGAGAAATTATAACTTTCAACCATATTGATCCAATAAAAAGTTTACCTTTCTACGCGAAGCGTACTCATCATAAGTACACCGCGTGCTTCGCGAGGAAGTTTTTGTAACGAAGCGCATCGACCACGTGAATATCTTCCGTAGCATTTATTAATTCTCTCGGGACAAGACAGCTTTGGACTTCGGCTTCAATGAATAATAATGCGAAAGAAAAAAAAAACGCTGTTGTGAAATGATAAACTAACTAAGTTCGCGAAAACATAACGTGTGACGGCAAGCATGAAGAATATTCATGTTCACGTGCGTGTGTTTGTGTGTAGAAAATTTAGACGTTTCTCTCTTCTTGATATATATATACTTTGTACAAAGGGTAAAATTACACCAAATTGTGTGGCCATACCGAGATTTTCGCCGCCCCAAACGTCCATCTGAGTATCGTATTTGCCGAGTTTCTCAAAGTACGCTTTGTTGATGACAAACAGTCCGCCAGCGATCATAGGGGTCCTAATGGCCTGCGTCGGGTCCTTTTGTCTCGCCTGTCGTTCCGACTGGCTGAGATACTCCCATTTAAAGACCAAACTCCAATCGAAACCACCTCTGAGATCAGCGGACGCTCCTACGAAAACAAACAACGCGATTCGTTTATGTGAATAGATTATTGATTATACACGTCGCACATAACATCGTTGTTTATTATTATTGACACGCTCACCGATGTATTGGAAAGTATCCATGCTGATTACATCAATTACGGGACACACTACCCTGGTTGGATCCTCGGCTACTCTCTCCAAAAGCGGTTCCAACCAGTCGGCATTGCACTCGCAATGGGAATCCAAAAATGTGAGTACGTTCGCTGTAGCGGCATCTGCGCCGCGAACACGCGATCTCATTAGACCCTCTCTCTTTTCATTTCTGATCACACGAACCTTATGGATTCTCGATAATTCTTCGCCATCTTCGGCTGCAAACAAATCAGTTTTCTTCAGCCTCGTGCGTGTGACGTGATGTTTTATTCTAAATTCTGTTATATTTTTAATTAAATAACTTTTATTAAAAATCTATAAAATATTGTTTCATAACACTATTTATAGATTTTATTGTTTGTTACTTTAATCACAAAAAGATAGATAGTGGAAATATCGCGTGTAATTTCGAACTTTGATGTCATAATTTAATGACATGCTGTTTATAACAGTGTAAACGATGTCATTAATTAAAACGACAGATTGGCCTACGAGGCAACAATCTTTCTCAGTGGTATATTAAACGCGACATTAAATACAATAATAAACACAATTTTCTCTAATTGAATATATACATGTAATTTGCATTTTAATTATGATAAATTATGTTAAATGTTATATGAAAAGTAATTGTATGTGCGTGTAAACAAGTTGATTAACGAGCTGTTCGTTATTTCTTTATATATACATATATATATCGGTTTATATACAATATATAAATATATTTATTTATATATATGTATCAGATTATAAACAACACACACATATAGCTTATTATCTCCATATTTCAGAACAATTACGATATCACTACTTGAAACAATTTGACTTAGAAAAATAGAAAATAATTTAAAAATGTTATGCAAGTAAATAAAATTAATTTCGCGAACGTGTTATTAGGTAATTAAAAATTAGGTTTAATTATATGCGAGATCTAAATAATAGCAAGGCACTTACGATGGTCGCTAAAATCATCGACTAGAATGATTTCCTTGATCAGATGTTCGGGACTTCTGTTCAGCACGCTAAAAGTAAAAACAGTCTCTTGCTAGCTATTGTCAGTAAAATATTAGAAATGCTCATCATACAAAACGACGTTGCTTATTATTGATAGCACGCTAATACATAATCGTCAACTGACACACGATCGGTTTTTATCATATTTCTTCTCGCTGGAGAAAAATTCAATTTAAAAAACTCGATTCGCCATTTCCTCCTCTGAATCATCCTCTATATATATAAACTTTTCCAGTCGATTAACGTCGAATAAACTGAGACACCGGATTAAAAGAAGAACAGAAGCGCTTCGAATTGTCCTATTGAATCTTTTATCAAAGTTTCAAGGACTTCGCACCTTTTCTTCTCATCTACTTACCTTTTACTTGAACAATTTTATGTTGTGCCACCTCATTCTGTCGTTTAGTTCAGACAATGTTCTCAACAAATTTGGATTCTTTCTTTCTCATTAATTAAGAAAGCTCGTGCTATTAAAATTAAAAAAAAAAAAAGTCTGATTTTGTAATGATTTTTTTTTAATTACGTGTAGAACTACATTAATTGCAAATAATTGAAAGAAAAACGTTAAGAAGATATTTAAACGAAGGAGTTTTACTTATTATTACAAGTTTATTACATCATAACATTTGTGAACTCTCACGGAAAACTTAAACATGACGTTAAATCGATTGCGACAATTTTCAAGCCGCATCAAGATGGTTGTGAGTGTGGTCTCGTCGCGGTAATTAAGACTTCCTTTTAATTTCATCGACCGACACGATAGGACTGATATATTTCCTGACGCCGCCACGTTATGATCTTAAATAAATTTTCCGACTCTTGCTCGCCCCTTCTCCCTTCCGGTTTGGCGAGGGGAAGTTCGGACAAGTTTTGCTCCACCGAAAGCTACTTCCCCGGCAAGTAAGAAATGTAGTTGGTAGTTTCTTTTACTTTGCGAGACATCTCGTGATGAAAAAATATTTTAATTAACACCGAGACTTGTGAGAAAAAAAACAGTGATCTACGCAGTTGCGTCGTTTTAGACGAAAAAAATGGGTGGATAATATTTCTTTTTATCTATATATATGTATATGCCAACAATTTTTCTTTTCAATTCATTGCGGTCGTGGATTACGTGTAAGTGCGAGGGATCAAACACGCGCGCGATGGTACGACGATTAGAAAATTCCATTGCACACCGTCGACTTATTTTCGGTTTGCATCAAGAATCCTCCTGCATTTCTTCACGCATCTCTCGTCGATGCATTGGGAATAGATGATTGTCGGTGCCGCGCGCGGATATGTACGATCGCGTGAGAATTCGCGTCCATCGGCAATTACGTCGCGTTCAGGAATTTCATCGTCAAAGATATGAAAGACCTATATTCCATTCATTTTTGCTTTAGAAAAGCGCACGAACGCTTATATTTTTTATTTGAAGTTTCCACGGTTTTATAAATATATAAAGGTAAAAGAAGAAATGCGATTACACAAAATGTACAAAGTATCGTAAAAAAGAGCAAGAGGATTTTATCTATTCAACTTTGAAGTACGTACAGAAAATGTTGCTCCGCGTTTTATATAAACTGCAATTGTTTTAAACCTCACCTGACGACGGTTCTGAGTAGCGTGGAACGTGCCTCATTGTGGAAAGTAATTATGACGGAAGTCGGTGGTAGATCCTGTCTCCATTGTTTCATTCTACACCTGTAACAAGAAAATAGCATAAATTATAATAGTCGTCCGTGAAAATAACTAGAATATATTAATACGTATTATAAAAGTTTCCGAGTAAAGTATCCAATCAATCACAGACTTTTATAAAATATCAAACAAAATGTTTTTTTTTTTCAGTAATAATATTAATATAATTTTGAATAAAACAGATTTATAAAAACTATAGTCCATCGACGGTAATGAACTTAAAGCTATAGTCTACTGCCGGTGGACTATAGAGAGTTTTAAGTTTTATTATTTTTAATTTAAAAGAAGCTTAGTTTATTATTGTTTATAATAAAATTTTTTTTTATTGAACTCTAAAGATTTATTTTAAAATTATTTATCTTTATTAATTAGAAAATTATTTAATTTTAATTTTTAAGATCGAAATCTATTTATGATTTTCCTTAAGCGATGGTTTTTATATAGATTTCGCGTTCATGTTGCAGTATGGAAGTTTTTATGACGTTTGCTAAAACGGAAATATTCCAGATATTTAATTTTCAGTTGCTTTTTTTTTCGCGTAACGCGACATAAATATGCTCGAAAATGAGGAGCAAAGCGCGTTAAAAACGTCGCATTAATTCGACTCAACCATCCGTGTAACAACGTGAATTCACGTCATATACATACATAAATTCGTGTCACCGTATCAAAGACACGCCTTGAAAATTTTGTTAGTATCACTTAGAAGATAACAGATGCAAAAAAAAAAAAAAAAAAAAAAGAGGCGCTGTGATATAAATTAAACGTTTCACACATTTCGCATAATCTTTCTGTGCTCTCAAACAGTCGATGTGACGTAAAGAGAGTAGAAGTGGCCTAATCGCGCCAGAAATGACGCTTAAAGGCAGGAAAAAAATAAAAAGACGGCAAGAGAAGCAGGAAAACTGATCGCGCGCGTTCGAAGCATCGAGCCGACGCCCAAGAGAGCGCATAAATGATCGGCCAGAAACGATCCCAATATGTCAGCTCCTTTTTGGAGCCGAGATAAACTCGCGGAACGTGCGTTGAATGCGGTTATTAGATGCTCCGATGCTTAGAAGCGCAAATGCGAACTTTTTTATGACGCCGCGCGTCAAAAAGGATCGCGAAAGTTTCTTAGTCCCTGGATAAGAACGGCTGTCGTCTTCTATGTGCGAGTCGTCGGAGAGTGATCGGTGAACGAGGTGACGAGTGATTTCACTTAGAAATTTGAACTTCCGTCTTTCGAAAATCTGCCTGAATAATTTTTATTTCTCAAGCAGACCACAAGCTTCATCATCTTGAGCTATGAATCTTTTGACATTCTCTACAGTTTTATTAATTATTTTCCGCGAGAGAGAAATTTCATCAATCACGTTAATTAATTGCTATCCGCGGTGCGCAACGGTGATATAAGTTACTCTCTATCGTCAGAGACATCGCTCTCGTCATCTACTAAATTATTTATACGAGCCGGAGTTTGATTCACCGTCCGCACTTTTATTCGCGCGTAATCACGCGCGGCGGACAACAACTTCGGTAATGAGTAATTCAGATACTCATCTCGTCGCGCGATTATCCTCTCTTTCTCTCCGCATCGTCGCCTCGCTTCCCGCTGTCCGGGAATCGACAAATTAATTCGGAAGACCATAATTCCGCATTAAATCCGGCTAGTCTCTGCGACGACATGTTTGTCGACAACGAAATTGCGCGCGCGCGCGCGCGCGCGAGCCTTAAAGCGAATCCGGCAGATGAGACGGATCATCCGGCCGGTTTAATTCGAAACTTCAATTTAGGATCTGCCCCGCGCGTTATCCGCTAAAGTGGATAACGCGCGCGCCCGGTCGGTCACTCCGTACGATTTCATCGGACGCTTCATGTTCCCCACGAGCACACATGTATACGTACATTGTATACGCTTGTGCGAATTCATCATTGCTGGGGAATGCGTTGTGTGTATATATATATGTGTGTACGTATACGAGTGCGACTGCTGTGAAAGCAGTGCGAACCAACGCGATTAAAACAAATCGATACATCCTTTATCAAAATACCGCGTTTGTAATTTACGATAATATAAAATATGATAATATAAAAACTTTCGAGCTTGGTACATTAAACAGTTTTTTTTTCTTTTTTTTTCTCCCCAAAACGAATATGTACAGTGTGGGTGCTCTACATGCTGAAAAGAGAGCACTCCGTAGAATCCGTATGATAAACATTTAAACGTGCGAGCGTAAAAAAAAGAAGAGTCAAGGAAAAACATCCTTTTTGTTTATCGTAAATAATATTGGCAAGCGCAGAGTGTATATGTGTTTGGGAACAAAAAGTTGTCATTAGTGGCGCTTTCCGCGTTTAATAACATTAAACCGATATATATTACACACCGTTGTAACATAACTGTTGCATCAACGATATATCGCGCGCGTTATGCGCACCAGATTTCCGGAGCATATGTTGTATATATACAGCAAACGTACATTATATATTCGTTGTCCGGTACTACTTTAACTCATCTCGGTACTCGTGGATCCATTAGAGCTGCTATATATATACGGACCGCTCGTTGCGGCGAAGCGGCAATTGCAAGAGCAAAGTCATAGTACGAGTCGAGGTAACGGAAAAAGCGCATAAAGGACACGAAACGGAATTACAGAACGCCCGGCGCGACCCTCTCTGCGGAAATAGAAGTTTTTTCCCCGCGAAACTTCCGCATTGTATCGCGTAACCCCGCACACGAAACAGGATATTAAATTTTTAATCCATCACGGGTCCATCGAGCGAAGTCGAACGAGAAGGAAAAATCAAAAGGGCGATAATCGAATTGGATCTCTTCTCTCCGTAACTCAATATGCGCACATATATATATATATATATACTTCCAATATAGAAATGTACTCGATGTATTTATTATCTGATTTCGTGCTTCCCTTCCTCGTTCGGGTATATGCGCGAGCATAATCGAATCGAGTGTCATCGACGTTTATTACGGCGATAAATCACATCATGCAAAATGTAAAACGTTACAATGACAGAGTGCGCGCGCGGACAGTAATTGATGCAAATACAAGCCGTTCGCGACGGCATATTGAATATAATGTGCAGCACGGTTATTCCACAAAGCACATACATTATAAACTCCGCGCGAACGAACCGCACGCTCTCGCTCGGGAATTCAGCGCGTTATATATTTGCAAGTACTTTTCTTTTTTTTTTTTCTTTTTTTTTTTCATGTAATAGATGTAATATATATGGAGCGCGCCCGTGATTTTGCGCCGCATTGTAAAACGGCGAGAACGGCGCGCGCGAATCACGTTAGCGCCAAAAATCATGTTACTCTCGGACATTGCGCGCTCGCCGGATCGTGTTTTGTCCGCGAGTCCGAGCGTTAATTTCGGAAAATGCAAAAAGCATTCCCGTGCTCCGAGAACGAAAGCGCATTGCCCGCACGGGATTGCGTTTCTATAAAATCAGAGTGCTGCAGCAGCGTGCTCCGATTTACAGAACTGCTTGATGTCTCGAAAAACGGATGGGACGACCGCACGAAGTTTCAGATACACTGTTGTCGGTCAAAAGTTTTAACATCTTCGTCACTAATGGATTACATATGTTCTCTACGGCTATAAAATAGCAAATATTTCACAAAGCGCTCCCGTAAAAAAACACTTTACTCTTGCGCGTTTTATTTTTTTTCCACAACAAAAAGTCCGTCCAGTTGATTTTTATAAAATCCATATTTTGATAAGATAGCGAAAATAAATAAAATAAAAGTAGATGTTCCAGATTCACAATTCCCTTGGTCCGAGTGATATTTCGCGCGATAATTTCTCTAAAATTTATCCATTAAGAGACAAAAAAGATTACATGTATGTACGAGATTCTCCAGGAAGTATCAAAATAATTAAAACTTTAAAAATTGTGGCACGAGCAAAATAAATAATGTTTCAAGCGTCGTAAATAGACTTTTCCTTTGTTTTCGTGTTCTATGAGTGCCCGATTCCCCGGAGGCATTGAAGAAACCGCTGATTGCTTTTCTATTTGTAGGTGACAGCGATGTATCCCGGGGGTGCAAAGCCGTTTGTGACTAACGAACTGCTCGTTTCGCTGCCACAGGAGACTTCCTCCTCTGCACGATACGCTCGAACGGATTTTGCGCTGTTACGAAAATATTATTTTAACGAATTTACGGAACTATTGAGTCCAATGGCGGTTTGGTTGGCGCGAGTAACTATCGATCGATTTATCTTTCGCGCTTATAATTCGCGCACAGCAGTCTGTGCCATTTAAAAAAAATATCTTCGCGAGAAACGCTGTGTTCCATGTTTCAAATATTTAGTAAAAATATAACAGACACATATACACACATTTTTGTTTATACAGTTTTGTTTTATTGCAATTTTATTAAATTTTTAAGTTTTTGAGTTGAACACACTCTCAATGTCAGTACGTTATACGATAACTACGTATGACATAGGAAAAAAATGTTGCATATAAAAGCTTTTACATAAATATTTTAGAAAGCTCTCGTCAAATCTCTTTCTCTATTTTTATTTTAATAAGATTTTGAAAATGCATAGATGACACACGCGGATTGTATTTCACACAGCAAACTCCAGAGAGTTTTAATTCGGGATATGTAATTTGTTAAATAATATTTCGATTGTATACGAAAGATATTAAACTGGCGACAAAACGAAAAGATGCACGCAACACATAATACAAAATAAAACGAATTAATTATCGAATTTCACGTTTAATCAGGATTCGGCAAAACGAGCGTATATGTATCATTTAATTGAGCATGATAGCGTCAGTACGTGTCAATTCACAGCAATGTCGCTAACGTGATCGGAATAATACAAGTGGGAGGGATTAATTTGCAGCATTCGAACAAGCCGTTTAAATTCATATATCAGATTACGAGCCGGAGACTTCGCGAATTACGTTGGGTGTATTGCGCAAAACGAGTATAAGCGTAATCATTTCGGTGGTAATTGAACGTTTAATCACACTGTGTAAATGTG